CGGATCACGAGGTCAGGAGATCAAGACCATCCTGGCTAACACGGTGAAACCCCGTCTCTACTAAAAATACAAAAAATTAGCCGGGCGTGGTGGTGGGCACCTGTAGTCCCAAATACTCAGGAGGCTGAGATAGGAGAATGACGTGAATCCAGGAGGCGGAGTTTGCAGTGAGCCGAGATCGCGCCACTGCACTCCAGCCTGGGTGATAGAGCAACACTCTGTCTCAAAAAAACAAAAAAACAAAAAAAAAAACAGAATACAATGTAAAAGATACTTGTGTATCAGGTGGCATTCTACAACATAAGGCCCTGGGTGACTTGGGTCATTATACCAGGGAGTGTGAGTGTTGGCCCCTAGGAGGGGCATCCCTGGAGCAGTGAGTGGCAGAAGGGAGGGAAGGGGTTGTTGGCCCTGGGCTTTCTGGAGCTGTGAACTGCCAGGGGAGGTGGAGAGAGGATTGGTGTGAGTTTATGAGTGGGTAATGGGAAGGTGAGGGAGGCAGGGATCCCGGGTGGAAAGCACACTGAGCTGGCTGATAACGGTGGGCACCTGTTCTGACTTTGTTGCTTACTTGCTGAGTGACTGTGCCACCAGCGCCCCTTGCCCTGTCCTTGGTACCACAAGGGGCTGCACCAGCTGCTCTTCAGGGATCCTCTGGGGTGACCGTCTATGTTCTTTCCCACAGTGTTCCCAGCCCTGTGCTCATTAAGAAGTTCTCTGATACCTCCAAAGCCTTCATGGATGTCATGTCAGCCCAGGCCAGCAGCGGCTCCACCTCTGTCCTCCGATGGGTTAGTGTCTGGGGTTTAGTTTCTTATCTGGCATCTCCCAGAGCCTGTCTGATTTGGTGATGCTTGGATGTTCCCTGAGAGGGGTTTAGGCACCCTGGGGACCTCAGACAGATGGGATTTTCTGGAGTCAGTGAGAACCTGGGCTCTTTTCCCTCCTGGCCAAGGCTGGTGGCACTGAGGGCTCTGACTTTCTTCCAGGTCCTTTCCTGCCTGGCCACCCTTCTGCGGAAGCAAGACCTGGAGGCCTGGGGCTACCCTGTGACCCTTCAGGTGTACCATGGGCTGCTGAGCTTCACGGTGCATTCCAAGCCCAAGGTGAGAAAATGTGACAAGGGGACAGCCACCACTCGGCCCAGCGCAGCCCAGACTTGGCTAGCTGAGTGGCATCGGGGAGCTTGCCCTGAGTACTGGCTTCTGATTTCTGCCTCTGAGGCACCATGCATTTAGATGCAGAAGGCGGGGCTGCTCTTCCTCCTCCAGGAGGCTGTTCTCTGTCAGCCCTGTCTGAGTCTCTGGTGCCTTGTCAGCCATTGCCCTGTTGACATGGACTCTCCCCGTATGTCTGTTTACCTCGGTAGGGAGGGTGGCGTAGCTGGGGGAGTCACACAGACCTGAGTTGGATCCTGAATTCACTGCTCGAGGTGTGAGCAGTGAATTGGGAGGCCAAAGTGGGAGGATCATTTGAGGTCAGGAGTTAGAGACCAGCCTGACCAACAGAGTGAAACCTCGACTCTA